ATAAAAACACGGTGGTCTGGGTAATGCTCAGGTTGTGGTCCGCTTCGGCGTATAAGTTGTTCCCGGTACAGCTGAGCTGCTAAAGCGCCGTTGCCTTGAGCAACGCCATAATAATAATGCATTTCTGCATATTCACGCAACGTATAATGCATCACAAACTTCTTAGCAAACAAAGTCCAAATCAGTATGCGAAGCAGAGTCCCGGAATATCCAATTTTTTAGAGCACGAGGTTTCGGCTGATATGGCCTCTTATTTCGTCTGCAGGTGACTTAGCCTTTCGGGGTTATTTATACCAGACCGGCTGACGTGTCCTGTGCCGTAGATGACGTGGCTGGTCGGTGGTGATGACGTTTATCGGTCCATTTGAACTGCCGTCAAGGTTGGATTCGGTAGCCTACAAAAGCTTCCTTGAAAATAGCCTACCATTATTGCTGGAAGATTCAAGCCTGGAAGCCAGACGGAACATGGTGTTCCAGAATGATGGTGCACCATGCCACAACGCAACGATCGTGCGAAACTACTTAAACGAAAGGTTCCCAGACAGATGGATCGGGCGAAACGGACCGATACGATGGCGTCCACGCTCCCCTGACCTCAACCCCATTGATTTTTTTGTTTGGGGATATTTTAAAGACATAACATTCGCCCAAGAATGTGCAAATGAAAATTCATTGAGGAACAAAATTCAAGAAGCGACACATGTGTTGAAAAACAACACACAAGCATTTAGAGATTTAAAACAAAATTTCATACGTAGGTGTACACTGTGCATTTCTGTTAGAGGCAGACATTTTGAAAACCTCTTGTAAATAACATAAATGAATAATAATCTGCTGTTCAGTAAAAATCAAACGTGTTTTTGTGGTTTTTGCAAATTTTTTTTCCGAAACTAACAATTTCTATTGAGCAGAGGGTTATCCAATTTTGGGTTCGGTTCTATTTGAGCCACAATTACGGTAGCATGTAGTAAAGCTAGGTTGATGAAATTTTTACGGTAAATAGCTGATACCGTAAGGAAGTTTTTAAGATACTTACGAATAGTAAGAACATGTTTTTTCAATTTTTTATAAACGTTCAAAGTTGTTGCACTTTTTTACTTTTTTGTTATGTTCGAAGATTTTGAAAAAAATTAAAAAGTAGTATTAGTTACATGACTTGAATGATTATATGATAGTTAAGCCTTAGGTCTTAGCTACATAATCGTGAAAAAAGCAGGTATTTATCACAATTATTAACGAAGTTATGGTAAAAATAAACACAGAACTCAAAAATTCTCGAAAAATCCGAAAAAAAATCATAACTCCTAAACTAAACAAAATCGGACCATATATATGGGGGTGATTTGGGTTCCTCTCGATGTGGGGAATCTAATTTTTTTCATGACGTCACGTGTTTGGCCACCCTGTATATCCTTTATTTTCTTTGGGTAGAAGGCAAAGTATTGCAAAAGTACACTCTTATAACTTAAACTCTCAAGCTTTTGAAGATTTATGTCTTCATCGTCTGGAGCTGGAAACAATTATTGACAATAGCAACAAATAAAAATTAGGAGAAAGCTAGTTACTAGGTCGGCGAGATTGTTTTTAAACAACAGTGGAACACATAGTCGACGAATAAAAAACTGGACTAATGAGGTTCGATTAGGACGGAATTATTTTATTATTAAACAGCAAATCATTTTGAAAGGTTTTTTAATTAAACGTTGATTGATTTTGGAAGAAATTTGGAAATTTTAAAACTATCAACTATTGAAAATTCCTTCGAGATTTCATATTTTTTTCCACTGATGACTTCCACATTATCCAACACGTGCCGACCGACTGACATTCTACATTATGTCGTAACTGTGAAGTAAATAAAATATGTAAGGCGTTTTATAATGTAGTGCAAGAGGTTGCTTGTTTATCTCTAACGATGATAGCTGGTTTGTTATAGGCGATGCTTCTGTCGGTTATAATACATCTATCATAGTATACTGTGTAATAACTGGTTGTATAACTATGGGTGGTTGATGCTTATATGGAATTTTGGACATTTCTTCTACCAGACCTAGTTTGAAGTACAAACATTCGCTCTGAGATAGCATACTACATGCTCAATTGTGCCCAGTTTTTCTCAGCACTAACTAGATCTGACATTCGTTACTGCAGGAACTTATGCTTCTTGTAGTTTCTGGTGTTTGCCACCTGATCATGTAAAGTCTCTAGAAGCGATTCTCCACATTGTAACCGCGATGTCTTCTAGGGATAGCCTTGCTGCGCCATTCTTGATTTTTCGCCTTTCTACTTTAGATAATCTCATTAGCTTGAACAACTTGACTTGCTAAATTTAGTGGCGTGTATGAGTGATGAAGGAAAGATGTTAGCTTTCTTTGGTGGAAGTAATCTCTCATAAGTTTAATGCCTGTTTTTTCATAGCCATAAGACCCCTGTCCTCACCTTCCCGTAGTAGTGTCATTCTTAGAGTACTAGACTATTATTATTATTTTATCAGATGCTTTCCACAGTTCATATAACTGATTCTATCGTGAAAATTTTCTTATAATGGTTGTGGCGCTAAGTATAAGTGCTTCCTGTTTTTGGGAGTGTATATAATTCAGTCTAAGTAGTTCTAGATTGTTTATAAACGACTGTTGAGTGATAGCTGTCACTGATATCATCATCGGTATTATTTTCACTTTATTTTGTTCCCATATTCTTCTGATTTCTTGAACAAGACGAATATATTTTTCAATCCTTTCATAATATTTTTTTAATTTTATGATGGCTTGGTACTGCCGCCTCAATCAGGTAGGTTACATGCCCTATTTGCTCCACTATAATTATGTCAGATCGATTAACAACAGTTACCTTGTTTGCGGGGAAACTTTGTGTGTTGCCTTTTCTATTACAGTATCTTGTGTGTATTTATAATATATTATTATTATTGCTATTAATCTATCCAATTAAGCTTACTGCTGAGAGCGGGTTTTATGCGCCATAGAGAAGGAATTCACCTCATTCTATGTCAAAGAATTTCCTGAGTAGATGACATCTTTGTAGCCTTTTGCATCGTTGCAATTAAGTAGCTACTAATGACAATTTTATGTAACAGATCACTCATAGGCGCTATGCACACATTATCTAGCTTCCAGATGTTTTTAATTTCGATCTCTAGATTTTGATAACTACCGATTTTTTCGTGCTCTGTTAAGGAAAACACTATATCTATGATATTCGCGTTTCTCTGTGCTCTGTTTAGAAGAACTGTATCGAGACTGTTGTGCTCCACGGCTTTTTCGGTTATAATTTTTCAGTCCCAGTACGATACTCCCAATTTTTTCTCCAATATAGGCTCAGGAACTTAATGTAATAAGGTACTACACATTTCATAAGGTATGTCCGATTGTCTCTCAAGGTGCCTGACACTTTTTGCATTCGTCGATGGTCTTTGCATGCATTGGGTTTTTCGTAGTTTTTTTTATGGATAACCTTGCCCTGTATGGGACAAAAAAAGCCTTCAGTCCTGGGTGGAGGTAGCCTTTCTTGGAAACACAGATAGGTGGTTTTATCAATATCGTTCCAGTCTTTGGAAATCTTGCGATTATCGATTTCGCTTTCCGATTATTAAATTATCTGTATCTTCTCCGGTCGATTCATCGTCATTCAGGTTTCCAAATTTCGTAGAAGTAATATTGTCATCTCTTTCCAGCATGCATTTAATTCCACTGCTTTTGATCTAGCTTCAGTACTTGGTTTGTGCAAAGTTGTTCAATCTTTACCAGGCCTTCGCCCCTTTGTCATATAGGGAAATATTACACTTCACTGTTGATTTGGGATATATGAAATTTTGTCAAATGTCACGGTTAAATTGAGCAAGGTCTTTATATCTCCAATTGATTATTCTGGACAAGTAAGATCAACTTGGTGTTGCCTATGAGTTTATGGGTATTACGGAGATTTTGGTATTGAGCTTGGTGTATAGCAACTTTGCTAATCTGGACATGTATTTTTGCTTGACGTCATACCTTATCTTCGTGTGGTCAAGAGTAGGGCTCTGCTGGAAGCCCTAGTACTTGTAGTGGTCTTCAGGTTCTAATGTAGCTGTACTCTTTTTGACTACAGAGCAGTTCACCTCATCGCATTTTAAATACTATGCATTTATCTAACATAAACTGCATGAAGATATCCTCAGACTGTCTAGTAAATCAGTGACGAAAGTTGCGTTTTATTTTCAGCCAACAGCTTTATGTCGTTCATCTACATCACGTGGCTCAGTTTTGATTGCACCTGCTTGCCTACTTTGTAGGCTTTCTTAATTGTATCTCAGTACCTAGGCCTGTATTGTTAATTAACAGTGTTGTATCCCACGTTTATTCCATTAGAATTCACAGAAGACTATTGATCACTATTATTATTATTATCTTGCCCTTTTCTCAGGTGCAGGTGGGTCCCACCAAGCACTATCGTTTAATCTTGGCTCAAGAATCGTCGTACTATGCGGGTGGCGTTCAGAATAATAGCTTTCCGTAGCTGCTCAAACTAACTTTAAGGAGTGATTCTTTCATTATGTGATCACTTTGTTGCAACAAGAAGATAATAACAAACTAATTAAGCTAAATATTTAAAATGACAATAAAGTAAAAAGTCCCAACAAAAAATATTTGTCAATTTTCACCATTAAATGGTTTTGCTACATAACATTTATCCGCTTGTGTTTTTAATTTGTACTATTATTATTATGATTATTATTATTAGTACTGATATTATTTACATACGCACATTTTTTGAAATATTTGAATTTTGGGTATCTTGTTGGCCACCGATTTAGCCGATAGGGTGAAGTCGTGATAGGGCCGCTGTAGCTGTACTACCTTAATCTACACTTTCGTAATTACCTTTCAAAAATAGCACCATCAAAGTACCCAGTACCGCGTAAATCCAACAGGTCGGCGTCGCAGTGATCATCGTCATACTAATCATAAACAGTCATCGAAGCATGTTGACATACCCTCACTTACTCCGTGTCAGCGGCGCGACATGCGGACGGACAAATGCACGACGACGGGTGACGCGCGGCGTCGTTTTGAGCGTCGGGACGCGCGGTCGGACGTCGTCGCAACGTCGCGAGCGTCGAATGCCGAATGAAGGGCGGTTGGGACGATGGAGAGCGAAAGGGTGGGGGTGGGCATGGATTGATGGGGCAGGCAGGCGCCACGGGTGCGCACGCCGCTGGTGCCGGTGTGAAGCTGAAGCTACTGTTGCTGATGCTGCTGGTGTTAGTACCTCTGGGCTGAATTGGTCGGTGCACCTGTCGAAAAATTTTATAAAATTGTGGGTGAATGTTCTAACCAGCCAGCAACGGTGACAAAGTATATGGGTAGTTTTACTGGGTGTGCCAATATAGCGTGTATATAGTTGTACTACGAGTCAAAATAAGTCCTTTGGATATGAGTTACATTTATGCAAACGTACTTCTTATACCGTTAGAAGGCGTCCTAATTTTCTTTTTAAAAAATAATTTAATTTAAAATTTTTGACGACATATTTGACGATAAACTCTAAAGGGTCTCCGAACGGTGATAACTACCCCCACCCATAAACAAATTACGGCAGAATCTTTTTACAATTTTCCCGACGACTCTGAATTTTTCTTATATACTCGTACTTAGCAGGTTTTGTATTTATCTAATTTTTGACTCTTATAAAAACAAATAGTTTTTGAGAAATAAAAGAGCTGCTTCAAGCGGTTAGCCAAAATAAAAAAGCATGATATTACTTGTTAACATTTGATGTGATAGTAAAACTCATTAGAAACCAGCTCCAAAAGACATATTTACTTTTCCATCTCTTCATCCATTTTTTTTTTATTTTTCCACCAGAGATAAAAATGCTAAATTTTGGAAAACCTAGAAAATACATTAAATATTTATTCTAGATAAATATACTTGGATTAGGTGTTCTCCCAACCTTTCACTTCGGAAACATTCTCAAAGTAAAGTTTTATTTAAACTGTTATAATTTATATCTTATACACAACTTATTTATACAACTATCATTACTTTTGTTAACATTAAAATATCTTGTTCTTTGTACTTATATCTTGGGATTAAGTGGCAGAATAGCGCTGTGCTAAACTTCGTTCATAACAAAGACGATTATTATTATTATTATATGTGGATCAAACGAAAAAATTTGAGAAACGTTGGGAGAGTTACGAAAAAATTGTGCTATAATTTACGTTTTCACCTTTTCCGAACTTTTTAAAGTTTTTTGTAATAGTCACGACGTCTAGCAAAGCAAATATGTTTAAAATTTCATTCAAACGGACCATCGGTCCCAAAAATATCTGAAAAACATATGTTTTTAAAAGAAAAATTTGAACCCCTCTAACTGACAAACGAAGCATGGAGGTATATCATATTCAATCGACTTATTTTGAGTCTAAAAATACATGGTACTTAGATGTATATCCACGAAATATTAGAACACTGTGTAAACTTGGAAATTTTTGGCAGCTTAGCTAAAATCATGAAAAATTTGATACAAGCTAGTTTATTTTGTATAACATACATAAGCGTAGTTGGTGAGTGAACATAATTATATTAAATTATATTTTTGACAAAATTACTGTTTAAAATTCCCAGGAACCTGTAGTTCCCCACAACAAAAATCTAACCAAGTGTATTGTGATTCATTTAACACGACATTGAGGCCATAAATTAAGCCAAAATATGGAAGTACTTATTACTTTTCATTGCCTGTGACTCATATTATTACTATACTGTCCCAAAAATATTAGAAAATCCTTTTCCAGAGCTTGTCCCAACGTTAGTATATCAGAATCATATAAAATCGATTTAAAACAAACTAATCTCAAAATACTCTTCAAGAACTTGTAGGAGGAGGTTTTAGCTTTATTTTAGATACCTGTCGACCTCAAAAATTATAATTGTAATCTAGTTTTTGAGCATTGAATATAGCCGCATGGTAACCCAGAATAAACTTGTTTAACACTTTTTTCTTAATAAATTTTTTGTCAGTGCGTATTTTTTTTTATCATTCCGAACAAAAATACTTTCATTAACTTTTCTCTGAAGCTGACAATTTCAGAGTTATAAGCGACTCAATGTTTGAAAAGCCGGTTAAAAATTATAATTTTTTAGGTCGTCAAGTATCTAAATCAAAGATTGCTTTACAAGACTCCAAAGAGCATTTTGAGGTTGCTTTATTTTAAAGTGAAGTGATTTAGGCCAAAATTGGGAAATTTGAGGTTCTCTCAAGAATTACATGATCAAACGAACTTACCTGTATGTGATGTTCGATCTTAATTACGTGAGGTCCTCGTCGAAGTGAATAGCTCCCTCTCTCTCTATGTATCGCCCAATTGTTGCAACAACTTGGCTATGAAGTAAATGAAGGTTTATGGGCGGCCAGAGGGGAGAAAGTTAGAGGGAAGGGGCGTGGTGCCGGATTCCTTCTCTGCGCGCGCGCTTTGAAATCGTGGCGGTTGGGTACTACTACGAGGGCACTACGATATGTATTCTAAATATTTACTTCGACGAGGACGAAACATAGTATAACTTGTCTTTTTGCACCCAGCAGTTAACCCGGCAAAATATTTATTTAAGAAATAAATATATAATATGGTAATTTTTGAACTTTGATGTGTAAGTTGCTTACAAGGAAGGGGCTTATTTATGTATAGTTTTTTAATCGATATTTTTCCAGGATCCTGGGTAGTTTATATTTTTATAGTTTTAGCTGCTATGCCTAATTTGCAAAATGACCCAATAGTATTTCCAGATCAGACTGAAGAGCTAATAATTATGACATTATATCAGAAAAGAGATCAAAGGAAATCTAAGACATAGGAAAAAAATGTTGAAAATACTGCCAATGTGCAATCAAAAAAGTAAAAAATCACAACTAGTTCATTAAGCAATATACATGGTTCGTTCTAAGAGCATTTATTAGCAAAATTCACATGTTTACCTAGACGATATGAACCACTATGAAAGATAAATGTTATTTTTATGCGAAACACAAATGTTACTCTTTTTTCTTCTAAACAAATACAAACACTTCGTATTTGTGAGTAATTGAACAAACGCGCTACGATATTCGAAAAACATACGTTTCTATATACAGTTTAAAGCAAAGCGGATGTGTCTATCATCTTTTGTTGCAAATTACTCACAAATACGACATATTTGAATATGTATTAGAAGAAAAAATGTAACCCATCCTTTCTTGCATAAAAATAACATTTATCTTCCGGAATGGTTTGCGATTCATGTCGGTAAGGTAAGCTAGTGTATTTTGCTATAAAATTTCCTTAATAACCCTGTATATTGCTCAATAAGCTAGTAGTGCTGGCCGAAAAACAGGTGTTTTGGGATAAGCAATTAGATATTCTCAAAAACTAGTTGACCAATCTACCCCAATTCTGTTGTGGTTATTTAGAAGTACGAACCCTACTAATTTTGAAGAATTTCAAATATCTGCGTGAAACCATCATCGCATTACCAACAAGTGCTAAAACCTGAAGTGTGCCTTGGCTTCCGGCAATAATTTTTTTGCTATCAGTCGGATATTTTCACGTATGGTCTCATTTTGTAGGTCTTATATGAAGAGTTCTTTCGTTCCTGCCAACACTTTGGATTGAATCCCAAAAAACACGTTTTCTCATGCTTTGTTGTCGAATAAAAGGTTTTCCCGACAAACATTGGTGTACCTATTCTATGCGCCCATGTTTTGAATACCCCCTTGTTCAACTTGCAGCAATAAAAACAGAATTTACGATTATTTCGCAAAATAGGGGTATTTTCGTCTAATATGATTAGACTATATCAAGAAAAGAGAAAGTTGAGAAGGAAGTAAAATATAAAAAGACCGAGGACAGAAAAGTAAATCAGATTTAAAAAAGCATAGGTAAAGATGATAAATCAGAAATAAAAAAAAATATCTATTAGTCTAGGGATTGTGAGTTCATTTTTTGTGATTTCCTCTATGGCGAACATGCAACAGGAAATTCCTGGATCCAGCGTCTTGTATGTAATAATCTGTATCAGAGGTGAATCTATATTATTTATATGCCCTGACTGCTCACTTGACTGTGATTTTAAAAATGCAATGAATCTGCCATAAAATAATATTATCTGTTTCTATCAAAAGAGATTTTACTTATTGTGTCTTAGAATAATAGTAATAAATAGTGTTGAATAATAATCTAATAATGCTTAAGGCCCGTATCGTCAGTCGTCCCTACAATTGTAGGGCGCCTTTATGGCCTCCTTGATTGTCATAGCTTTCTGCTTCTCCGAGCCAGAACTCTATTTTGAGGTTATGTCACAAACATCTATTTGCATCAAATTGTGCTTGCGTTTGAGTTATATCATGTTTTATCAGCCTGAAATTTCCTACATTTTAAAAAGAAAACATATCTTCACAATAGGAGAGCGCTGACGCTGACACGGGACAAGTGTAATCTAGAAATTTTTGAAGGAGAGAAAGGAGGATGACAATCAAGGAGGCCATAAACGCGCCCTACAATTGTAGGGACGACTGATGATACGGGCCTAAGATTTCGGTTCAAGTAAATATAAATAAATTAAAAAAAGCAGTATAAAAACCGGAATGTCCAACTGATAAGGCTGAAAATTTTTTCACTTGTTATTTACAGTAAGATAAATACATTCACCAACTTTTATTAAAAAAAAACCATTTAAACTGGGTGTTCGGATTTATATGTCACTTAGTATACAATCTAGACACAAATCTACTACTGTGCTGATCATAGAACACTACAAATGCGTCCAATAAAGGCATAGGAGCCAGTAAAAAAAGAAAATTTGAGAGCGACAACAAACTCAATTTCTCGATTCGGAGCAGCTGATTCTTTTTTGATGTAGTACAAAATTCATGGGGGTGAACACCTAAGAAATGCAAAAAATTTGTTACTTGACGTTTTTCTACTTTCTGGTTATTTCGGGGTCATAGTAGAAACGTAGTTTGTTCGAAAATTCTAAAATCAGGCATGCCTTGTATGGTTGCAAATTGAATCATGAAAAACGTCTGCTATTGTATTGGGCGCGCACACAACATGTTTTTTGAGGGCATAGTTCTAAATTACAACTTCTACAATGTGCATACTGAACTCATGAACTCACCTCTCATCTTAATGAAATATTTATTTTGTAAACAGGTTTATTTATTGCTTGTCCGGTGATGAGGTGATGATGGTAATCTACCAGTCTGTGCCTTTTGTACGTATGCATACGTATGATTGATATGGAGCATAAAACTATG